TATGCAGTTTAGAGGTCCGGTACCCGATAATTTACAGAGCGTTCAAGCAACACCTAATTTTATTTACAGATCCGTTAACATACTTACAGGACATTTATGCAACCCGCCCTTAGAAACACAAAAAACCGAAATACTGCAAGTTATGTATGACTGGACGGGTGGAATTCATGTTGTTCAGGGATAAGTAATAAAATTATATGATTATTTTTCAAAAACCTATTAAATCAAAATTCATAATTTTGTACTTACACGTTGTAGAGCTCTAATCAAAACTGGCAATAAATTATGATCAATGGCTGCTTGAATTTGTTCTACACTACCAGCCATCACATTTGATAACAACCAAGCTGCATCTTTCACAACAGGAATACGCCTGTGATTTAATAGATTATGAAGGTATTTAAGTACACCATGATCCAATGCATGTTTTGTCTACACAAATATCATAGATGATTAAATTATGAAAATAAAATGTGACATTTAATAGAACATAAATAACCTACTTGCATATCATTACCAGACACAATATTGCCAACTACTCTTAGTGCCGGAATAAGAATAGTAGTATCATCAACTTCTAAATATTTTAAAATTGCCCTCAATGTACCTGCTTCAATAATTACTTGAATTTTTTCATTGCTCCCGTCAGTCAAGTACGATAAAGCCCAACAAGCATTAGCTAACACATAAAAAAAAATATTAATATAACATTTAATAAATACTATTTAGTAGTATTTCAGAATTTCTTACAGACAACTTGAGAATCATTGTGACTCAACATTCTAACCAACAATGGAACAGATGGAAGTAAATAATTAAAATTTGGAGGAGGAGTTTTGCTGCGACAAAGATTTGATAGTGTCCATACTATGTTCTGTTGTGCAGTTACTTGTTCTGTTGTTTCTAATAATCTGTTTAAAATTGGTACAATACCGTTGGATAATACAATATCCCTAAGTTGAGGTCCATCACCCGCAATATTTCCTAATGCCCAAACGGCTTGTTCCATCACACGTATATCCGGTGATTTGAGCAAATTAATAAGTAAAGGAACTGCACCTTCATTAACTATACAAATGGTGTTTGCTGATGATCCTGATGCTACATTAGTCAATATCCAAGAACATTCATATTGGAAATCAGTGCTGTAAAAAATTCATATTGTTAAAAACATAAAAGATTTAAAATTAGTCAACAACCATCATACTCATTGTTATATTTTGGAGTTAGAAATTCCATCAACATTGGTAAAATACCAGCATTAATAAAGTCATCAATGGGAGCACATTTCCTCGAACTTAACATCTTACGAGCATATTTTAAGCAATTCAATTTCTTTACTGCTGATGTATGACTTTTTAAA